GCAGGACAAGTGAAAGGCACGCAGCTTGGACCGAGAAGTGAGAAGTTCGTGCTTGCAGAACTGTGCAGGTGTTGCACCCGTGGCCCACATCCCTACCATTCCAGTATTCGCTACACCCGAAGCCAGAACTTGAAGGGGCTATTCCAGTCCCGCTTCGGAAGTGCCTTGAGAGTGACACCCGGCTCTACCTGAGCGAGAAGCGCCACGAGGCCAGCTTGTGGAAACACGAAGTACAGTGAGCAAGGAAAGACTCTGAGCACAGTTCCGAGCCACACAAAGCCACCGTCCAGAGAAACAATCCGATGGCGTGGTATGCTTTCAATTTTCAGGCTACAGACGCGCAGCCCAACTCTTAAAGTCGTTCTTGCGGCTGGCCACCCCGTCCGGCACGGTGAAGCTGAAGCTGGTCACCACCCTGGCACGCTTTGCTGAACTTTAGACCCCAAGAGCAAGGCCTCGAATCGAAGTCTGAGTTATACATAGAGTTTCCTATTTCTCCTCGTCAAACCAAGCAAGTAATTAAGTAATGCACCTGCCTGATATATGTGCGCCGCATTGGCATCAGCAAAGGTGCGGGGGGGGGGGGGGGGGGGGTGCAAAGCGCCGCAAGTGCTGTTCTCAAGCCCAGCGCTCTGAACTTCGAAGACACCAGAGCTTTGCAGGGCGCACGACACGGTCTCCTCCACCTGAGAGCAGGTGAGTTAGGGTCTTGGAGCTTGGATCAATGTCGGGCTTCGGAACTTCGGACTCAAGTTTGAAGGGGGGGTTTTGTTGGAAGTCTTACCGCGAAGTTTCTCGGGTTCATGCCTGGTCTGGCCGGAAAACAAACTCCAAACACAGTGTGTCCGGTTGGGGCCTCAGCGCCCTCCTTGCTTGCACCATCCAGCCTGAGCGTTCGGACTTCGGAAGCAACACGCAGTGCCTAGAGAATAGAAGTACAGCAGAAAAAGCCCCTCCGAAGTCTCACGAGTTTTGCCTTTCTCTGTCCAAGCGACATGCCGGGGCCGCAGCTGCCGCCAGCGTTGGGCAAGCAGATTTTACTCTGTGCTAGCTCAGCTTCGTGAAGTCTGAACTATTTGCTTATTGGCAGGCGGCATCTTCAACTTCTTACGTGGCTGGCTGGCCGACGCCGCTCGGATGACGAGCCGGCGCCTCGCGAATCTAAAAAAAACGCTTGCACCTAGATGCAGAAACGGGCACCTCTTCAAAGAAAAACATCCGAAGCGCTATCCGCTATCTGTGTTCAAGCCGCGAACTCGTCGGAGGGATCTTTGAGCCATGGGAAGCGAACAGTGCTGGAAGCTGAGTCTGATACCGGAAAGCTCCACGCTCTACTGCCTGTCTTCCAAGAAGTATTTCAAGCGCAACGTCCATTTCGGCTGACTGGCTTCTGCACCAAAAGAGCCCCTCGCTACGAGCCTTTTCGAGCGGCTATGGCAGCTCTCTCGTCTCGTTTCGATCCGAGGTCGAGGTCGGGGTTCTCCCAGTTTAGGGAGAATGTGAAAGTCTCTGCGACGCTGTGACTCGAAGCCCTTCAGCTGCCGCTCTGGGCATTGTCGGCATCAAGGCTCGCCCGGAAGTCGCGGAACGCACCTCGTCGAGAGTAGAGAGTAGAGAGAGAGGCTACCGAAAGCCCGTTTTATCGACAAGTCGAGAGCCGAGAGCCGAGCTGTCCAGGACTTCGTTCAGCGCTTCGCCTCCGCCTTGCCTCCCGCCTTCCCTTCCTGCAGCCTCGGCACAGCTCAGCTCACTCCAAGCTGATCTAAGCTCTCGCAGCATGAGCCGGGAAGGCGGCCTTCAGCCAGTTTTCCTCCACCCGGCCATTCTGCTGCGAGCGCCGCTGCTGCAGCTCCTCTGGCTACTTCGCAGACGAGCCCTAACTCGTGTTTGAGTGCGACACGCAACTCGCCCTCCGGACCCAGCCTTTTCCAAACAGCCAATCCCTGAAGCCCTTTCGGTGGAGTTGATCCCGGGGTCCGTCAGGAAAGCCTCCACCAAGCCGCCAAGCCTGGGAAGAACCACGCCCTACAAATTCGGGCGCGGTGAACGTGAAGGCCTTACTGCCTGAAAGGCTTGCGGAGGAGGTCTACTCGTGGGTTCGTTTTGGCCGAAGCTTCGAGGACGCTTTGAAGAACAAATGTTTGCGAACGAAGCTGGCCCTGCTAAAACGCCCTGGCATCCTACCCGCATCTAGCTGTGTTCGACAAGGGTTGAAAAACTTGAGACCCACCATTCAGAGGCTTCCCTACTCTACCCCAAAAGCACCGAGCCCGGCTGATGCTACAGAATCTGCTGCAGAGTTCTCGCTGCAACGGAGCTCAGCTCAAGGCCTCTTGCCATCAGCGTTTCGGCACTGCAAGTCGGGGTGATAGCGACAGCACAGTGACAGCAAGATCATGGGCAGATCAGGAACCCTCAAGAGGCCCTACTATTGGCTTGGAAGGCTAGTCTTGGAGCCTCGAGGCCGTTCACGGCCTCTTCTTGCGCCTCTGCGACCGCGGTCGAGCTCGGCGCGTCAGGCGACGGGACGGGCTTGGAAATCCTCGTCTTCAACAAGGGTTGCCACCAAGACTTGCATGCCCTTACCCAGTGCGAGACATGCACTCTGCTCAATAACAACGGCCTGTTGGGCTCCTACAGCCCATTTGTGAAGCTGCTCAGCCCGGGACATACTGAAAGGGCTCCAGAGGCTGGATTGTACCGACGTGCCGGGTGGGGAGAGCGACACCGCGTCGGAGGCCTCTCTTAGGCCCGGAAGTCTAATGCTCCGGCAGAAGCGGGCCCCTATACCGCGGGTTCTGGGCTACTTATGGGGCCATATCGACCCTTTCACCCTTTCTTCGGCTATTTTTGGCTTTCCAACATGCCGACTCCATAGAAGGATGCCAGTACGTAGGTCGAGTTGCGCACCCACATCGTCTACGCTCTCAGAACCCCGGCAAAAACAGCCAGTGCCAGCTGCAAGGGTCTTCAATAAAAGCTCTGGAAGTCCTACAACTCCGCTGCTCAAGGGCTAGTGAGCCTCCTCGTCCACTAGAGCGGACAGGGCGAGGCCGCGGCCTCTGCGGGTGCTGCAATTTTGTGGCATCTTACTCGGGACGTTCCGCAAGCCTAATCTGTTTTCATGGCAGTCAGTGCCCGACATGACCATGCCCTCGACCTGCACTTACACCTTGCAGCCTGCGGAAACGAGCTGGCATAGCCTCCATGATAAGAAGCCCCAAGCCAGAAGACATCAAAACTCCAGCCTGGCGCACCTCCCAAGCCTTGAAAGCCCCTTGAGTCCGAGTAGTCGGTTTGCATTCTCACACCCGGACGATACCATGCGTTTTGCGCTGGTGTTCAGTGGGAAGAAAAATGAAGATGAAGGCAGGCATGATGTTCATGCCGAGGATGATGACTATTTACCATTTTTGCAAACATGATGATGCAGATGATGCAGCTTTTGTGAAATCGATATTCCTGCTTCTCCTTTCCCTGAACTAATGAAGCCGTCTTGGCCTCCGAAAACCATGGCAGGGGCGCGCGTCATGGCGCCGATGCTTGGGCTGTTGGGATCCTTGCTTTGGGTTGACTGAAATGTTGGGCTCCGGCATGGCTTGCATGCAACTGAGATTGAGGCATCACCCAATCAGGACTATACACCTGCCAAGCTTACATGAAACAGCCTTACTATGCAGCATGTCATATTCGAATCCACAAGCGAGCCTGAGTATCAGGCGAGTGGACAGGAAACACGTCATGGAAATTTAAGCATTTGCCACAGTGCCGCAGCAGCCTATCAGTCGACTGCTACTGGCTATTCGAGCCATCCTTGCAGTGTTTTCCTGAGATGGAGCATTGATGCTAAACCTGAGGGGGGGATCCTTCTCAGCCTGGCCTCACCTAGAACTCTCACAAGAGCATGAAGGAACCAAATCTATGCCAAAGAACGGATGGGAGGGCAGGCAGCTTGTGGAGGAAACTTTAAGATGTCAGCATGACCCTCGTCTTCGTGGTTCAGGCGTGCGGTGAAGCACAAATTGAAACCTGTTCGCAAGTGGGATGCCGCTGCCTTTCGCCCTCGCGTCCCAGGATCTTTGCAAGTCTGGTCCGACGCAAGTCCGAACCGAGGAACAGGCTCTCAAACCCGAGATGGTGACCATCATCAAGCCAATCTGGCTTCTGGAAGAGGCAATGACTATGACGACTATGACGTATCCACATCTGAACTCACTCGTTGCTACTCATCTCACTTGGCCCAGGACGGCTTCTCAACATCCTGCACACACGAGCAGCGACCTGAGACCTGGACCTGCTCTGCTCGAACCTCCCGTTTTTGAGGTGTCGCGTCGGCGCGTCGGCGTCCTGTGGCTGCAGCCTTGTCATGGTGTAGGCAGCCCCAGGTCCAACTTTTCCGGGACTAAGGTACCTCAGAAGGACTCCGGGTGCAGACAATCTGCTCTGACATGTAAAGCCGAGGCCGATGACGAACATTACGGAAACACCGGCAACCCTGCCGTGTTCCGGCTCCGTTGACAGGCGTGAGACCAACGAAAAGCAACTTGAGGCTCTGCCCCGGAAAGACTCCACGGTGCCGGCATCCCTTGAATCGTAGACCTAAACTGCCTGCAACCTGTGCATTTTACTGGCTGCTGAGGGGCAGGTTCTGGATCATGAAGGGGAGTTTGGCACCTCAATTCGGAGGCAAGGCTCGGGAGTTTCACAGACTAATAAGGGGGTGGGGGCCCAGCAGTTCCTCCTGCATCTCGCCCTCTCACCCGCTTTGGACCAAATGTTTATGCGTAGCCGGAGCCTCCGCCACCGCCGCCACCACCGCCTCCGGCACTGTCGGAACTTGCACGATCGGCCACTGCCTGCCATCCAAAGAATATTTTGCGATCGGCCTCCCACCTAGCACGGCTTCTGGGTCGTGCTGCAAACGCCTGAAAGGTTTAAGGTGACGTCATCTGGTTGCATGGGTCCCGTCATCGTCATCAGTGACACCCTCGCAGCCACCGCCATCCTGTCAGTGACATCCTTATCACAGCGAATCGTCATGAGAGGCGCTGCTATCGTTACCGCGGTCAGCACAGCACTTGACAACGAGCGCAACCCACAACTGCCCCATCGCCACCAACAGAGTCGTGACACTGGTTGCAACTCTGACAGGCCGGGTCGGCCTCTCGCTTGATGTCTACCGGAGCCAAAGCCTCCTCCTGACAAAACATGGATTTGCGTTCGAAACCGAGGCCCCTCAGCCTGTATAGGCTATGCACAATCGAAGCATTCGTGGTCGGCTGCTTGTGGCCAGAAAGAACTATTTGCAACACCCACGCAGCAACTGTGCAGAAGCTGGGTACTCGCCGCGGGGCCTCGTATCTTCGGCTTTGCAACGCGGCCGACCACCCCTGCGGGGCCTTGCTTGCCTCAACACAGCTGCACAGGCTTTCAGAAACGGGAGCGCTCTGGGCTCACGGAACAGCTTGGGGCTGGTGATAGACCAAACTCGACGTCACATCTGCAGGCACGTGCTGAGCGAACGATGCAATGCATTCAAGACTTCAAATCCACTACTCCCGAAACGAAATCAATCCGATCAGTCACAGCGAGACAGGTCCGAGTCACAGGGTTTCGCCGGCCTGGGTATGCTCCTGCAACAGCAGTTGCTTGTTGATGGACGTGAGCCTTTCAGGCCTCTTCGAAAGAGCCTCTTAGAATTGGCAAAGCAGTTCAAAGGCTCCGAACCCTTGTTTGGCTGAGGTCCGAAAATGAGGCGCCTTTTGAGACGTGAGGCCCCCCGTGTCTTCGCTCGGTGGATTGAGGTGAGGCAACCCAAGGCCCATGGCATGCAAGCACTTCGAGAAAGTTCCGGCGTCCTGGGTACGGGCTGTAGGTAGCCATGTCGCACCTGCAGTCTGGCATGAGCGGATCCTAGCTTCTCAAGCAGGGCCGGCGACTTCACACCCTACTACAATGTTTTGCGGCGTGTGCAAACGAAGTCAGATTTTGCACGGACCTGTACTCTTTCCGAGTTTGTTCATCCCACCCCGATTCAGAAGATGCGATTCTCAACATGCCCAACGGCGTCTCCCCGAAAAGAAAGGCACCTCGTCCGGGAGAAGTCCTCCGAAACTGAGCCAAGAAGGTCGCTGCAGCAAAAGAACCTTTCCACTACCAACCCAGTATCATCTGATTTCAGCTCTCGTTACTTTGCTTGCCTCGGGTTTCGTGCATCGTGAAGTCCGAGAATCCAATACGGCCGGTTTAGACTGGCTTAGACTCAACGATTGCAGGGGTTTTCACTTGGCTGTGTTACACGACTGAAACGGCAACAGGCTCATCCTCTGAAGGTTCCGATGCTGGGGAGCCTGCAATCAAGTTTACACTCCAGGACCCAGGTTCTGCTGAACCGGATTGAAACATCACCGGCTCTCCCGAAGCTTCTGAAACTTGCAAGCTTGCCAGAGGACAATACACAATTGGCGGTTTTTTGCGAACTCCAAGGTGAAACGGATCTCACTCGCCCAAGCCGGCGCTAGGCGCCTCGGCTTCGGCCTCGACACGAAACCATGAGAAAATCCTCTTCGGTCAGAGAACGGAAGAACACTCCTGCGTTGCAATTGCGCCCCGTGATACGGAAGCGCCTCAGCTCTCAACTCTCTCGGGGGCCACTTGGAAAAACAGACTCTGCTCTAAAAGTGTCTGCGGTGCGGGCTTCCACCTGGCAAGACCTCCCAGACCTCCCTCAAAACGCCCGCTCGCCCTTGCCCTCGGCTTGGGGGCTGCGCTTCGGCTCCGCGCTGTCTCGCGATTAGGCGCTGGGGCGCCTGGCCAGGGGCCAGGTCAGGCGAGACTTGGAGGCTCTGGCTCCTGGCCGGTCCTGGCCTGCTGCGCAGGCAGGGACGGCCGGACAGGCCATGGGTCCCGGCATCGCCATGCCAGGCATAGCCACAGGCATTGCCTTGTAGCCAACACTGAACGGAAGAGGGGCACCGACTCTCAGGCGGAAGCGACACGGGTATCTCCAGTCTACGCTCTGAAGCAACATGGACACGCAAAGCTGCTGAGTTAGGACCGCAGGAGCTCGCTGTGGCACCGAGCCCCGAAAGAGCATCCCTTTTGCCACGTCCAAAGCTCGTTACAGCCGAGCTGCTACGGGCATCGGCATGAAGCCCATTCCCAAGGGCATGCCGCACAGGCCGCCCATCGGCCTTCAGTTTTTGGGTCTTTTGGGAAGCTCTCCGTCTCGGGTCTGGCAGTCTGGGTCTGCAGTGGTAAAAGCTAAGGGGCCCAAAGGCTTCGATGTCTTGCCAAGCCAACGGCCACAGCTGAAAGAGCCCTTCCCCCTTCAGTAATCCATAGACACTTGTGTGCATGCACATGCATGTGTGCGTTTTGGGTTGTACCGTCTTCGCACATCTCCTCTGGTGGAGAAACTTCTACTGTAGGCATGACGACCGCAGCACAAGCGAAGCTATCCGAAGCTGAGTGGCATCATCCCCATTCCCATGGGCCCCATGCCAAACATCCTGGGATCACAATTCCATCGAATCGAGGCAGGTTGGATCTGCGGGGAATCGTGGGGGCGATGAAGAAGGTTCGGGTGTGCCTTTGCATGCGGAGGTTCAGAAGTGCTTGGGCTCCAAGCTGGAAAATGAATGTCTGATCCATCTCAAACTCGTTTGAGGACGGAAACTCCAGGAACCACAAGGCCTTGAGGGACGTCCTTCTCAAGGTTCGGAACCGGAAGTGTTTGTGGGAGCTTTTTGCTTGTCATGCGAGCACGTCTAGGAAGTCCAGGACAAGCTCTGCGAGTTCAAAGTTCAGACCTCTTTTGCATTGGATGGCCCACTACATTCACTACCACTGCTTTCGACCTTGTGTGTAAGATTTTATCTCAGCAATTTGTTCAACAAAGTGCTTGTGCTCACCGTTATTCAACTTTCACCAGGCCTGTGTTATGTCGGCTTTCTTGCGACGCAAGTGTCAGGCCCGGGAGCATGCCCGGAACCGGCCCATCGTCGCTGTCGCTGTCCTCACAACACGTTGCGCAAAGCCGACTGTGCCTGGTGTTCGCGATGATGCGACCTCTGAGATATAGGCTTCTAGTCGATTCTAGTCTTGACGGAGCAAAGTCAGAAGTGCTGCGCTTTGGCATTGCTCGAGAAACAAGTTTGGCCACAGAAAACTGAACTACCATTAAAGTCCTGCCAAGCAGACCATCCGTCAACGCGAGTTCTGAAAACCCAATGAACCTTCGCGCAAAAGTAATCGTGGCTGAAGCCGTATGCGTATTGAAACCGCGTCCGTCATTCGAATTGAAACTCTCAACTCTCCAACGTCTGAATCTTCCTCGTGCTCACCGTGAGCCTAACTCCTACAATGCCAGCCCCTCCTCACCCTTTGTCTGCACCGGTACGGCGCCAGGCGGCCCCTGGCCAAGGATTGCTACAGGTGGTCATTAGTGCTGTTCTGCGATGTCAATCGCCTTTTCTTAACATTTCCCGCAAAGTGTCACGACATATGCCTATCTCAGAAAGTTGTGGGTGGCCTGTGTATCTGAATGATACTGATACATCCGGATGGCTGAGGATGGACGGCGTTCCGCCACAGACGCCCCCGAAGTCTGAAACGAACAAGCCTTCCCGGCATCCACATTTCATGATGCTAGATATTGCTCCGACTGTGCATGCGCAGTGGGAGAAGGCTTTGTTATCTGCTCGCCGAGGATCGTAGCGATTGAAGTCAAGGACCAACAACTTGGACTTGCGGTGTTTTTGGTGAAACCCCCAAGCTGCTTCAGACCGTTCTTGACATGAGCCGTGCTGGCCCCACGCTGAAGTATGCTGCTTGCTTAAGCCCTCGTGGCCCTATGTTTCGAATTGCCTTCCCGTCAACAATCCGTTTTTTCTGGGATCCCCGCCAGAGCCTTCTTGGCCTTAGCCTTGGCCTGCCGTGCTGCCCGAAGCTCTGCAGAGAGCCGGCGCTCAGTCTTCTCAACCTCAGGACTCAAATGCACTTCCCAATTTTCCTGGACATTTAAAAAATATGTTCCCGCAAGCTTGTCCTCGCTCTTGGTTGGATGAGTTCAGGGAAAACAGATCTCCAGCTCTCAGAGTCCGAAGAAGCTCTTCGACTGACTGCGGGTAAACCTGACAGTAGGTTCAATGTTTCGTGGCTGCGGCGCTCCATCCATGAGAAGTGATAAGTTGAATAGCAAGAAAGTGTGTAAGCAGGCAGTTGGGGAATCTGGTTCGCTTCATCATTGCTGTTCCTCTCGATTTGCTTTTGGCTGCTGCGGGCGCTGGGCTGCCGAACTTTTCTGCTTCATATGTATGCCGAATCATATGCACGAAGACTGCAGAAATCCCCGGCGCTAGCAAACTCCACTTGGGCATGAATTCGCAGCCAACTGAGGCATCAGCCACCTCCACCTCTTCGATGAAGGCATCGTAGAGCTGTTTCTTGCCAACCACCCTGGCGAAGGGAAATCTCTTCATCCTTCGGGTATGACTTTGCACGGCCTGCCGCAGCCTGAAGAACTACTGCCCACAATCCGCAATCTGGCACACCACCGGTTAAGCGCGAAGACTCGCCAGCTGCACTCGATGATTTCGCCTTCTCGGTTCAGTCTGAGGCACTCCTCTGCAAGCACCAACCAGATTTCAGCACTCGGTACCAGCAGTTTGCGTGAGCAACTACCTATGATGGAATTCCGTGCCTAGGTGTCCTAGAGGCACGGCCTAATGCTGTGTTGTATCAGGGTCTTTCTTTGCTCATCGTTTGCCCTGAATAGCTAGCAGCCGTCTCGGCTGCATGTGAGAACTGTCTTGGAGTCTTGAAAAAGGTAGGGGATTACAGGAGCCACGACGTCAAGAGGTTTTAAGACTTGGAACACCACAAGCCAGCAGCTACACTTGAAACCCTGGAATTTTGAGTGATTCGGTATTAAATTCAGAAAGGGTTGTGGCGATGGTCCTGGCCTTCAGCTCCACGTAGGACTCGCGGTTGTCCCAGCCCACGCGCTTGTCAGCAATGGTCCCTTCAAAGTCTAGACGCTCCTGCCGCTGAGTTTTTGGGCAATGTTCATATTTCATCTGCATTTTCCTCATAATTGTGATCAATCCTCTGCGGGAAACCGGGTTTTTGCAAGGATCCCGGATCAAGAAGCTCCAATGCTCCTGCTGTGACAGCGTAGCGACGGTAGAGCCCAAATTCAATTTCACTTGCAGCCCTTTGGATTTGGAGTGTGGTCCTTGCACTCATTTGACTTTGACAACCCTCAGCTCAAGCTGCGGCTCCTCAAAGACACCGGGGCCTTTCTTTTCCCGATAGCGGATGGACACGTGTGCGCCTGGTTCTTCGGTCTTTTCGGCTGCTTTCGAAAGAAGGAACTCCATGACCAAGATCCGCACCCACGCGATGTCTTGGGACCCCGGCCCCCGGCCTAGGCGCAAGCCCTTGAGGAGCATCCGCCTTTGCCCTGGGCCCTTGCCTTGCAGGTTCGAAGCTCAGGCCGAGCCTGTTCTGAGTAAGTTGCACAGTTCACGTTAGTTACGTGGACGTGTCCTGCACAGCAGGACAGTAAGGAATCGAATTTCGGAGCCTTGCTCGTGTGTAGCATCGAGGGATCCGGCTTGCCACTGACGCGTGTCGTGCCCACCACAACTACTTTCAAATCTGGGTTCTTGCGACCCGCGAGGAAAGTATGAGAGTAACCCCATGTCTCCAAACTCGGTCTGAAATGTCCGGAGCCTGCATTCAACCCTCTAAAGCGCCAGGTCTCCTGCACCTTTTGACTTTCATGCCTCCCACTTCACCCTCCGAAAGCTCCAAATCCCCTTAACGCCTTAATGCCAAACTCTGGCAGCCTCAACAGGAACCTTTTCAACTTTCGGACCTCCCCGCGGGGCTGCACCGGCGACCCCGCCGCAGGGACCGGAGGCCATGGCGCACAACTTTCTGGGCCCTGGGCCTCTGCAAAAGGGTTATTCGCTGCGCGGGGATGGGGTGGGTGCTCAAGGGCGGGGCGGACCGAAGTCGCGAGCTTCTTTTCGGGTTTGACACTTGGACTCAAAGCAACTTGGACTGGACGCAAAGGATTTCAGCACCTCTGCTGCGTGGGCTATATGACTTTAGAGCTGGGGAGCTGTTATTGGTGCTTCGGTTAGCGGGGCTGAAGCGACTAGGGTTGGCTTTGTTGGGCGTCGGGGGTGCGGCCGTACTCCATGTAGTAGCCGCAATCGGCAGGCATTTCACCGTGGGGGTGGCTTGTGGTTGCGAAAGCTGCTCTGAGCCCGAATTCAACACGGACGGCCAGCTGCAGCCACCTCCCTAGCGCGTGCTTTTCTTGAACCTTTCAAGGATCCCTGTACCCTTTCGTGCATAGACTGAACTTCTGATTTCCGAACCTGCCGGCTTGCAATCTTGAATCCTCCGGAGACTGCATCAGTCAAGTTTCGGATGTGGGGTACTCTCCATTTCAGGTCTCCTGCAACCCCAGCGTTTTCTCTGTGGTGCCACGAAGCGATGCGGGGGGGTCCCCGAAGCCCACATCTAGGTGAGGCCTGAGCTGGCAAGAGCAAACACATCTTCACTTGGACCAGTGAACTCAATCATTGCGAGCTGTTAGTTGGTTGTTGGAACTTAGTCGAGTTCCGAAGAATGCCACTTGAGCTGTCTTGGCTTTTTTTGCCGCATGCAGGCTCCAAATGCTCTTTTGGTTGTTTGGGGTTGGGTTGGATGAATGGGACCTTTGTCGCAGCTCCGCGTGTCGTTTGCAGCAGGGACTCAAATCGAATCCCGTATTGAAAGAGAGCAGGAATAAATCTCACGGGTGACAACGACACCCCAATACATGATGTATTCCTACAATACGTATTGCAGTTGGACAACTTGCAGCAAAACATCTCCACTGCAGCCAAGCAGCCACCGCCACCTACAGACTCCAAACCTTTCTGCACTTTACGATGCTGCTCCTCACGGCAGGCAGGTTTGGGCACCACGTGTGCAAGAGAATCCGATGCAAAGGCTAGAACGGAGTTTGCGATGGGCTACAAACATCCAAGCACATGTTCGGGCAGCCTGGAGGCCAACAAGTCTGAACCGTCCTCTCTCTTCTGGATGAGGCCACGCTCATGGAGAAGCGACTCGGCCTGCAAGCTTTCCGATGGGTTGACTCTTTGGACAACCCCTCAGTGCCAGAATGTCGTTCCATCCGGTTGCGGATTTCGGACATGCTCAGGCCTGGACATCCCGAAGAAACTGGACAAACCATGCCCGAGCGCCTGGGACCCCATTGCCGCAGCAACTCGCTGTTGCTGCTCCTGCAAAGATCTTGAGGCACCATCGCCTAACGTAAGCTTCGGCAAGGTTGAAGAGTCCGGACGTGGACAAACCAGATCACCAAAGAGCCTGGTGACTTGCCTTCATCTGTCTGCCTGAACCTCTAACCTTTCAAGTCCTGCGTTCGCTGTTGGTTGGTCCGGATGATGGCCTCAAGCTCCTGCAGCACAAAATGCGTCCGCTGCGCACGCCTACCGCAAGGCTCATTCATGTAGCCTTCTGAAAATGCCACACAAAAGGATGTTCAGAGCCACGAATGCTAAACAGCCTGACGACCGCTTTCGCACAGCGACCAAAGTAATTACGGAGAGTCAGCAGGCTGACTGTGGCTCAGTACCAATCAAAGCTCTCCTGCTTCGACCTCTCCTCTTGATCTCGCTCGTGTCTGAACTCTTCTATCCTGCCACGCCATTTAAACCCCCCAACCACCGCTACAGTACCATCAGGACTCTGCTTTCAATGGCTGAAAGGAACTAATGCGGGCCTTCGCCCGTTTCTGATCGCCTGCTGGCTGTTTCAGCTTCGAGCTTGTTGTGTTTTCTGTGTGTGTGCGTGTGTGTGTCGATGCGATCCATGAAACATAGCCTAGCCTGATAGAACTGCCGCTCTCCGAAACCTCAGCCGCGCCTTCAGCCCTGAGCCCTTACTTGGCAAAAAGGGGAGCTCTCGGTCATCCCGCGAAGCAAACCCATGCCGGACGCACAGCTTCTTCTTCTGCATGTCAATCTCGATCTTTACAAGACCTGACGTCCCGGTCTTGGGCTGAAGACTCCGACGATGACCAACTATCTTGCATGCCTCAACCTGGGCTCGCCCTCCTTGCTTCAGAAGCCGAAGCTGCAGCCCCCTGAAATCGGAAATGCTGAATCCTCATCCTCGAATGAGCTCCGAGCACCGGGCTGAAATGCCGATCTAGCTCGCCTCGTATCTTCTCCTTCCCATAGCAAAAACGTCTGCAGAAAAAGGGGTCTCGAAGTTGCCGGGGGGAGGGGTCCTAGTACTTCAAGAGTGTTGGCTGGTGCGTTGTTTGCGTTGCTTGAGTGCTCATATCAATGCCTTCGTGTCTTTCGGTGCACAAGCAAATAGACAAACCGACAGTTCGTTTTGCATAAACGGATTCATAAGCCGTTGCGTAGAGACATAGGCCGTTGCATAGAGGAAGGCGCATCGATTTTTAGATAGATGGGGAATATGTTATCGATAGATGGATGCGATGAAGCAAGATGGAGGAAAGTATCTGTATCATGCCAGCTGTGGTCATGATAAAGTGATTCATGGCCTACACAGGCATCAATGCCCTGTTCTGTCCCTTGCGGGCTTGCCGGCGATCACTTGCTACAAGAGAAACTCACCTGATGCTCATACCATGGAGGAACGAAGCCGCAAAGCCTTGCCTGAATCGTGGCTTCGAAGTCCCTGTTGTGGATTCGCTCTTGCACGCGCCTCTGCACCTGCGGAACAAAGGAACAAAGGTGGGATGATGGGATGATGATGGCTGTAGTTGTTCAGAAACTCGGAGGCTCAAAAGCCGTAGACAACACTAATGAGACTCCGAGCCTTCCTAGATCTCTGCACAGGGCCAACATAAGCCCGCCAATCGATCCCATTGGCACTGCTAGACAACTTTCATCCCCTCGGCTCTGAGTCCTTGAGTTCAACGCATTGGGAAGTTCGGGAGAACGAGCCGACCGCAAGGACCCGAGAAGCCAGAGAACTCCGCCGGAAGAAACAGTCCCAAAGCCCCAAAGCGACACGCAAGCCTTGGCCCTCGACTGCGTGCAGACTTTAAAGCTGTGCCCCGTGCGAGCCTCCTGCTCGAAACGCTTCGCTTGGGCCTCCTTCTGTTCCTTCTCGGTCGCTTTGCGCTTGCCCTGTCGCGCGGGTGTCGTGATATCAGGGCACAACAATTACAAGGTAGACTGCTGCTGCTGCTGCTGCTGCTGTTGTGTAAGCTGTGCATGTTGCTGATGGTCATGATAGTCATCGTCGTCATCACCACCGCGCCCACATCAATCATACCTTTAAACGTGCTGCTAATTCTCTTTTGAAGTCTTCGCCAAGTGTTGTTTACAGGGTTCACGGCTTGGGCAGTTTGAGGAGTTCAACTCAGAGAGCTTCTGATGTCCCTCAGAGAGGGGCAGGGTGGAGAGAAGCAAGACTCTTGCACTTCGCAAAAACACAGTTGTTGGAGGGACTAACGACGCTCTTCTGGAGCCTGTATCCCGCATCCCCAACAAACCGATACCTCGGAATGAATGGTCCATGTGTATACAGTATGACTCTATGACATCACTCAGGGGCGTGAGTCCAGGTTTGCCGCTTTGTGCAGCTCATTTTGGCAGCCTCGCCTTGGCCTTTTGCGGTGAGGACCTCGCGCTCGCGGTCTCAAAGCTTTCTTCTAGTTGACTTCCGTGGAAGGGAAATCGTTTGGCTCTACATTGCTGCTGTGTGAGGTAGACAACCGGTCTACAACGGGACAATCAGCAGTAGCTCATCCTCAGATTGCCTTACATGGACGCCATCACCTGCCCTTTCGAGGTCTGAAGTTGTACAAGAGCTCGGACCAGCAGCCGAGCATCGAACCTCCGGCGTCGTCGCGCATCCCTGACACAAGCTTTTTTGGACGGTATGGCAGGGAACCAGGCAACGAAAAGCGCTTTTAATAGGCTGCCGGCGAGCTGATTGCTTCGTGCAAGGCAAGTCACACGCCCAAACTCAAAGTCTGAAGCGCGAGCTTCAGAGTGCTCAGCCTTTGAGCCTTCTGAACCCTGGAGCCCAGCCCGAAGCCATCGATCCTACCCAAGACAGGCGCTGCAACCTCGCGCGATCCCGGGACCGAGAGCGAGCCATCGCTCACTTACGATTCCTTTAGCTGCCTTCTTCGGAGGCAGGCGGAGGCTTTTCGAGTCAGAGTATCTCGAAGGCTTGAGACGCATTTGGGTGTTGACCGCCGTTTTTGCTTCGGGCATCGTTGGATACTTGCTGACTGCTTGCCCAAGGCTCGAAGGTATGACAAGGGCTTCGCAGGTGGATCGGGGCGAATGAGGGCCGAAGGGGGGAGCTGGAGGGGTCATGTGATCTGAAGAGCTGGACCGAGGTCGAGCGGGAAACGGCTTTCGACTCCCTGGCAGCAACATCGCTTTCAGCTTCACCCTGCCAACGCATGAAGGGTTCATGACAGCAAGGACCTCTTGACAGCAACTTGAGAAGGTCTCTGTGCAGATGCACTGGGACGCTATGCAGTGGATCTTTTTGCTTTCGCATTGGCCCCGCAAGGTTGTGACACAACATGCTACCTGTCTTCCGTTGGTAGTCTCTAGCTCGACTGGGTCATAGGGTCCTCTAAGTCGGCCAGGCCATAGTCGTTTCGTTCCATGCTTGGAGGCTAGATGCCCAATAAGCCCATTCTTGCCACAAAGCCATGTGTACGCAGTGTACGTCTGATGATCTAACTTAACCATTATCAGCGACTCGGGAGCGGCTCACTCTGAGGGTGCATTGCAGCTGCAATATCGTCGAATCCTCTCGTGGGTGGGAAGCCGTCGTGTGCTTCATGCAAGGCATGAGTGGTGACAAACAAAGGCCTGTGATGGGATCACGGACTGTGTCTTTGCGATCAGGGGTCAGGGTTTCATGCCACAGCCGGCGGAATGATCATGTCGGCCTACCATCTCTGGATCTTGACTCTGCAATCTTTGTTTGAGGTTTCGTCTTTGAACGAAGCCTGGAGCGGGTCCTCAGCCAAACATGTCAAAATCATCCTTCTCCACGGCTTTATCAGAGAAGACCTCCTTGCTCGGCGCCGTCGGCTTCATGACCGGGCTTCCCCCATCCTGCATGGCTCTTAGGTCTCTGGGACGTGCGGTCCTTTTCTGGCCGTGGGGTTGGTTACTCTTCCGAGCCATCATTACAGATGTGTTGCCAAACGCGATCGAGTGACAACACCTTGCGCCACCATTTGCCGTCTCCTTTCGATGTACCTCGGAGGCGGGCTGATTGCCGGCTTTAGGAACACCAAACGCTTCTGCGGCTTTACATCCGAAGACTCAGGACACAAACGGCAAGCCAAACAAGTACCTGAACATGAGACCACTCTAGTCGCCCCAACCTCGCGCAAAATGACAGTACACGACTCACATCTCAGAGTTGCCGTGGTGTGTGCTTGTCGGCCCACCCGAATTGAACGACCAAGGCGGTCAAGTTCCTTGGATCCAGGGAGACGGAGGTATCCCAGGTACAGCGAGAACCCGATAAGACATAAACACCTGGTGAACCACGAGGACTTCAGCCCTTCCTTGCAGAAGGCCGTCTGGAGATAGCCAGGCGTACCCCATGCTCTTCACAAGATGCACGCCACCTGGATAACCCTAAGGCACCAAGTCCAATAACTTTATGTCGGTTCTGCCGCACGTCTTCTCGGATATGATGCCTTGCAGCACCCCGTACCGACTTCAAAGCATCAAAGTGAAGCCACTGTTAGATCACCAAGTGTCTCGTCGCTGCCGGCCTGAAACGCCGTCCGCACGATATTCTTTGCGGCTTCTTCCGAGTCAGCCCAATGTTTGCCTCCGGGCAGCTTTGTTGGAGCTTGATGGGGAATTGGGGGGCCAATTTGGCTTCCGTCGGCTCGGTGTCGCGTCGTGTGTGTACATGCCTCTATCTCTGAAGAGTTCTGCAGGGCTGCACGAACGCTCCTCCTACACCCCAAATTGAGAATTTCCAAATCCACCTCCTCAAAACCGAACAGCCTGTACTCTAGTTTCTCCACCAAGTTGCTGGCACAGTCTATCACGTCTTGGTTGGAGAGGACTCTTGTGACCTCGTGGAAGATTCCGCCATGGCAGGAGATCCAAGAGTTTCCGGGAGCTTGGCTTCTTTTTCTCAACTAGGAGTCCCTGTTCGTTGCATGGGTTCTCTGTGGAAAGCTTCACTAGCAGATCCCAAGCGGATGGCCCCCTCGGTAACGAGGACGATGAAGAGGTCCTTGTCGGAAATCGGCAGGACCCTGACCTCCGGGGTTCAGCAATAACCCCAGCTCCCAACGACCTAAACTATTGAAACAATTTCCAAACCTTTTTGATTTGTAAGAATACAAAATAGTTTTCTATATCGGTTATATATGAACTGGAAAAACTACATCATAAGCCAAGTTGTGCGATATTGATTGAAAATACATTATACATGACTGAAATAAAAACGATTCAATGTTCGAAAACTCCATTCTTTCAAACCAGAGTCTGACAAGTTGTCGTAATTTCAAATCAGGAGGCCGTCTTTCATGGGCAAATTGAGACGGGATCGTTTGTTTCGTGCCCCCGAACACTTCGAAAACTGAGAATCGCACGAGAGGAAAGGCACCGGAAAACACCAGACTCCCTCCCCTCCTCGAAAGCTGGCCTGGCCTCGGGGTCGGCCGCTGACAAGGCCGGATTCTTGAAGCAAGCGTCCCCTAAGGACCTGCATATGCGGAAGAGGCTGCCAAGAAAAAGGACAAAATTGACACGATCTAAGACACAGGTGACACCTTATTTCTGTCGATCTACGAGTAGCAACAGTTGACTTGCACGCGTGGCTTTGCCCACCTGGTGATGGAGAGGCCCTGGTATTCCCGGCGCGAGGACTTTGTAGACCCACGCGGGTTGGCCGGGGCCGCGATCCGCCACGCCCCACGGACGTTCAAAACCAAGCCGCCTGCCCTCTCTATCCGCTTCCTTGGGTTACAAAGGGTTTCGGTGGTCTCATGCGCAACTGTTGAGGGCTGAGCGGATCTGCGTGAGAGTCAAGGCTTCCACGATGGCAATCCAAGCAAGGCAGCACTAAACCACACCCTCAATTTTAGTAGGAGAAGTGGCTTCTCGTCTATCCGGTCCGGCTTGTGGTCTTCGGTGATCTGGACCGCTTGCCCGGCTCGGCAGAGGATCGCTCGAGAGTCCCCGATGTGTGCAAGCACCTCGCAAGGGACAAAGCTTTACGTCTCAGGCGCCGGGCTCAGGGCTTTGGGATGGAAAGCAGACTCTTAGAGAGACTGGGAAGTGCTCGAATGAAGCTTCGGGTTGAGGTCCGAAGCTCCAGTCTATGCCCCAGTCGCCTGAGAATCAGTCGCTTCTTTTTGGCCCGGCTGTAAAACCGTGATTTCCGCACTCTGTTCCATACTGCCGGTTTGCACTCAACATGGAGTTTGCGTGTTGCCAGGGCTAACTACTCTGCTTCGTCAAACTTCGAGGAGCGCAAGTGATGCAAGAGGATTCTTGGCGCTGACCACGAACAACGCATACAAACATATTCAGCCTATTCCTGACATTCCGTCTGATGATCTCCTTCGTCTTCGGCCTCGGCATCAGCTTAGAAAGCAGATTCCTAGTGTCCTAGTTCTGTTCTTGTCCCACTTCTTTTCTTGCAGGCCGGGGCCGTCGGGGCCCCGGGCACCAGCCGCAGCGCCGTTCCCAGCTTTGGGTTGCCGTGCAGCAGCGCGCAAACGGCAGTGGAGCCGACAGAGTCGAACTTCTTCCTGGTGAACCACGAAGGGTCACTTTAAATGTTGCTGAAGACTGGGGCTCCGGGTTCACACAAAAGCGTGCATGCTAATGCTCGCTTGCGGCTTCGGCTGGAAGCAATTCACCCCTCAATGCTCCGCGGCTCCTCTCTGAAAGCGCGAGGATGTCTCGGTCCGTTGTCGCGAAGGCCTCACGCACGGCCATCTTGATCTTCTCGTCCCGGCTTGCCGGCTGCACGGCCTTGTGTCTGGAGTCTTACAACAAAAGTCAGGAAAGCTTCTCTTTTCGAGATGGCGTGCTGCTCCGCCATGAGCCAGAGCGTGTACTATGAACCGAAGTCGACAGAGATAATAACCATTCTTCGCCTTTTTCCTGCTCTGGAGAAGCTGATCTTTCCCACGTAGATCTTCAATTCAAGTCCAGGGGTCGACTCAATTATCGCTTAGCTTCCATACCCAAAGCCCCAACACCTAAGCCAGCCCAAACAGACCGGCTTCCAGGAGCCTGGGGAAACGGGGGGTGCACCCATTAACATCGCGGGCTTCTTGGGAGCAGCCTTCTGCCGGAAGCAGGACAAGATGTTCCGGTGGAGGTTCTTGGCTGCCAACTCAGAGACCTGTTTCAAGAGTTCTTGCAGAGACTGAGGTTGCGTCAGAGTTGGGGCGGGCGGGGGTGAGATCTTGACATGTCAGAAGCTGGGAATCACTCGAAAAGTCTGCCTACGGCCCTTGGGGGAAAGTGTTCCTTGACCTGCGCGCCCCCGTGGCCATCAAAGACGCCGAAGTAGACTCCGAGTTCGTCCATGGCCTGAAAAACGGAGAGTCTCTTCGAGGCGCACTCATGCAAGGCCCTCAAGCAAGGCTTGATGCTCTAGGCGTTTGGGGTGTCAAGGCTTTGCTTCGCTCAGCTTCGCCGCTCGGGCGAGCTTCTGGTCCAGAACACGTCGACACGTCCTGGCGAAGGTACCTTACTGCTGCACCTGTGGCTGTCTTCGTTCAAGGCCCGGGCGGGGATGTTGGGTTTTGGTTTTCTTGGAAAAATACTTCAAAGTAAAAGAAAGTATGAGTGCCCGATCTCCTCATCCTGGGCGTATCGGTCTTGCAACTCGATCTGCTTGCCAGGCCAGCTTTCCGCATGAACCCGCACCTTATCGAACAGGAGGTCTGCTTGTCATGTTCCAGGTCAGCACTGGAGCACGGAAGCCAGAAATCAGGGAATCAGAATCCTGTTTGGGATCCCTCATAGCCGACAGCCTTGCAAAACTCTGCGGTCTGAGAGTTGGACGACTACTTCTGCTTCTCCGGCTTCTGTTTCGGTACATCTACAGCCAACAAATAGATTTTCTGAGACATACATGAGATTTGGCACTTGTGAGCAGAAGGCTATAGCTGCTGCCTTGGCAATTGGAGAACGCACCCTGTCAGTCATACGGCCTTGCAAAAAGGACAGCATCAACTTTCGAGGTGCAGCCTCATAATCCCGACAGTAAATCCCACCCAAACATTGAGGAGGGGTCGTAGTTGTAGTGCAAGTAGTTCTGTGAGTAGCATTGCTCTGAGTGATATGTCTAATACTCGTGCTAACTTTCGTGCTGAGTACTTCTCAGCACAAGTCGGGGTACACTCCGGAAGCCCGCCATCTCAGCTCAGTTCGCTAGTTTCTCCGGCGCACAGCGTCTTCATTGTTTTCTGTTTGAGGGGGGTGCAGTATGGTTGACCTTTTGACTCCTAGCCCGTGTGCGAGCCGGCTCGTGCAGCATGACCAGGCAAAGAGTAAACGGCGGAAAAAGGGTGTTTCTCTCAGCCTGTGTCGTAGCACTGCACGCCACTAAGGCTACGGCTTGGACTGCAGACCCATGGGAGTTCCGACATTCAGCAGATTCCGTTGGTCGCACTGAGGCTCTCTTTTGAGCAAAGGCACGCCAAGCGTCTCGGCTGTGACGAAATAGCTCTTTCTTTTCTCCTTAGTCCAGAACCCTGAGGTTCTAAACAATGGAATCTTTGTCGAGGCGTGTAGCGTTTCACGGTGACTACGGACATTTCATGTCCAACGAGACAAACACTACACGATACATTACGATACATTGACACGCTAGACTTAGACTGAGACCAAAAATGGCCATTGAGCACTCACATGACTTGCTTGATTTGTGGGTCCGAAGCTATCCCGACTCAACGCTGAGTGACCAATCAAATTCTCGCCCAAGCAGAACCCGAGAGCCCTGTGAGTAGTTAAAGTGATGATTACTCCTCACAATTGTGTAGAAGCGCACTTCATAAGCACTGCACTGGCACATTGTCATATGCCTGAATCTTTGAACCGCCACAGGTCCTCCAGGTTCTGTGCGCCCGCATGCACAGGGAGGGGCTTGCCGTCCTTCCACGAAGCCGGGATGCAAAAGCCGTTCTCTCAGCCCTCAAGACTGGCAGAAGACTCTCGTGCGTGAAACATTGAAGCTGTGCACCGCGAATCCCCAAAAGGCCATGTCCTTCCCGAGCATGACAACGTCTTGCGCCCTGGGCTTTCCATCTTGCTCCTTGGTCGCACAATCGCTTCTGCTCGTGGGCGCGTGCGTTCTTTCGGATGGCTGGTTGGTCTCAGCTTGGGGATCCAGCCGGCGCGAGCATGCCATTCGCGGCTCGAGCAGGCAGTGCAAGGGCGTGAAACCCCCCTGCTGTTGGTTGTGTTGTTGGTTGATGATGTACGGCAGCTCTTTCCCACGCAAGCGCATCTGAATGATGCTTTCCCCAAGCCTTCCTACAGGTTGTCCTTCGAGAGCACCGAAGCCTTTGAAGGAGACCCTAAATTTCCGAAACCTCGAAGCCCTGAGGCATTTCATGCCGCCGCAGGCTCCCCCAGCTTGTAGAGGACCTTGGAGCCCTCCCGGAGGTTGATGGGATTCTTGCTGGTGCTGCCCACCACATTCCTTGGCCGTCACAGCTTCGGCTTTCAGGTCGGGCCATGTCGGGCCTGGGCCTGTGAGGGAGGATCGCCAAGAGTCCACAAGTGGACGAAGATGCTCTTCGGAGCCTCCTCGTCTTCCCGAACGAGGGGAATGATGAAGCCGAAGCCCTTCTCGGCGTTCCATTCCCGCACCTCAAGGGGAAGAAGGCAGTGCTTCCTCTGGCTTTCTAAAGTCCCTTACAAAGCCCCCAGATCCGATTCCCGTGGCGCACCCTCCCTTCGATCTTCTTGTCGGGTTCTCCCTCCGGTTTCTCCTTCTCCGGAGGCCGCGGCGCTGGTGCAATCTCTACCTTTGCTACAAGGCTTTCGGAATTCAGGTGCGGCAATCCGTCTCCCGTTGAAGGCTTGGTGGGCTCCACAAGTAGAACACGCCACTCACCATGAAACACACAAATCTGAAGACACACAGCGAAAAAGTTCTAGAGACCCTACTTGGCCCGTTAAGGTGCGGGAGCGGCGGGGACACCATCTTCCCGGATTGCCCTGGGGGGGGCCGCGGCCGCGGCTGCTCCTTCCCCGAAGTGGACGAACCTTGGCCGGGCCGTTCTTTATCGTCGATTTTCTGCTTCTACATGACAGGGCTTCCGAGACAGAGTTGGGAATCCGGTGTAAAGGTCCCAAGCAAGGCCTCAAGGCGTTCGAGCAGATTCTGGCCAAATAGTCTTCTCTCGGCTTGGGAATTCTCCGTTCACTGTCTCTGACAACTCGGACGTCAAGGCAAGGGGGCTTCGAGGAAGTATCACCCTGACAGCCTCGATTACGAGCTTCAAAACACGAGCTTCAAATACCAAGGCAATTGGTACAACGAGTGACCGAGAAGCTATGCACACCAAAGCGTGCAACCTCTGAGAGAGAAAGTAAAGGGATCGGACTTACTAAGTGAGGCACATGACCGCTCTCCCGAAACCGCACGGGGCATCCCTATCCGAAGCAGTGATCCCATGTGATCCCAACGGGCAGAGGGACTCGGTGGACTGGATGGCCCTCCGCATCTCCTCCGACTGCTTCCTTAGACTCGCCGATCGGCTTCAAAAATCGAAGGGTCTCTTCTTGGAGAACCTAACTAACTAGGCTTTTTGAGCCCTGTTCTTGAGGGAGCCAAGACGAAGCCAAGGCTCATCTTCCGGACGATGGGGTCATCGTCGTCGTCGATCTTCCGAAAGTTCTTCGGGTCGCCCTCCTTCTGTATGTAATATACTCCACTCTTGATGTGGAGGTAGAGCCCGGTCTCGGGATGGAATTTCCATTTGCCTGAGTAGCAAAAGTGTGGTCTTCGCCTTCCCCCCCTTAACAAGCTTGAGTCGCAGTCTTATGCACAGGCCAAGGTGCTAGTCTTCTTGTAGACGTACCAGCCGCTTCCATCAGGACTAGGTTCATAATCCTTGTGGCTCTGGGCTGTAGAGCTGGCTTTCAGTGGCGAAAACTTGCAGGGGGTCTTTTGGGACTTGAGCTTCACACGCAACAAACGCTGCAGTTGACGAGTCCTGGACGAATTTCCGCAAAAAAGATATCACAGAACAGCCAAGATTCTGCAAAGCTGGTGGGCGGCACCCGCTCTGGTGTCTTTGATCTCTGCTGCTTCCGAGTTGCTCGTCCTGGGTCCAAGAGCTCAGGGTTTACGGTTCAGGGTCGCACTTCCATCCTAGCAAAGCCCTGAACCGCCTTCACAGAACACAAGGTTTGGTTCCTCGCGCATGGCTCTCTGACCTATCCGTCTTCAAACATAGTGAGAATCACCCCCTTTCCAAAAAAGCGTTGAAAGGGCTGATCCAATCAAGGCAAGGCCTCGAGATTTGGACCTCGACGCTGCTGCGCGCCGCTTCGGAGAGGGTGTTCGCTTGCGGGGCGAAGCGCTCTCGGAGGAAGCCCTTCTACGATCTCCTTGGGTGAGCGGTTCCGCGTGTTTCTTTGGGGTACATAGACTGCAGGCACACGAGTCTGGCTGCGACTTGTGGTTTTATTTCGTGGGAAGCGTTCGGGATTCCAAGCGTTTGGGACAGCTCCACAAAACTTGTCGAAGGGCGCTGGCATCACTTTCCTGTTCAGCCTCGCTGCGTTGTATCGGTGCCAAACATGCCCACGGCGAAAACGTCAATCAGCCCTAAATCCGAAGTATCCGAAACCCTGCCTCGCATAGTGGCCCCTCGCATCACTGGCCACATCCTGTCTCGAGACTGTTCTTCCTTTTAGCCGCTGCTCTCAGGCAAGAGGCGAGATTTGGATCTGCGATTCTTCGACCGGCTGCGGTTCTCTTTGCGCGCCCTTGATCCTGAGCTGCTAATGGCTTCTATCCTCCATGCACTGCCATGCACCTGGTAAACAAGGAGCTCGAGTCGCCAAACCTCAGCCGAGCCTCGGCTCCTCTTCGCGCGCCTTCCGGAGCGGCTCCGGGAGGCGCTGCCGCGGCCCATGCTGAAAAGCCCGGACCGGAGGTTGGGCCCCGGCCCGGCCCGGAGTGCGCCCCGTGCCCCCACGCCCCTACTACCTTGAACAAATGCTGCGATGGCCGACTCGACCCGCTCTTCCCTCTCCGCATCTCCCTTTCCCCATCACAACTCATGGAGCTCGCAGAGGCCCGCGCGGCGGAACCACTCGGTTTTGGCTCTGGTGACGCGTTCTCACAACGCGGAGCGAATCAGCTATACTGCTATACTACACCACAACTCACCTCATGCCATGGCATCCAGCTTGGCGAGTTTCGCAAAATGAGAAGAAGCATCTTTCATTAAGTCTTGCGGGGATGCGAGTTCCACAACTTTCCCGGCATCGAGCACGCAAACCCTGTCGGAATGCATGATTGTGGAAATGCGGTGAGCGATGCACAGGACCGTATGGCTAGCAAACTCACTCCGGATGGTCTCTTGGATCAGGTTGTCGGTATCCCTGTCCACGGCTGAAGTAGCCTCATCCAAAAGAAGAACGACGTTGGACCGCAGCAATGCCCGTGCCAAGCACATCTGTTGCCGCTGGCCCAGGGAAAAATTCTTGCCCTGCTCCTGGACGACGCTCTCAAGGCCTCGATCCCCGTTCCCGTTGTCCAAGGTCGAGACGTGATCTGACAAGTGCGAGCGCTGCAAACTCTGCCAAAGGCTTGCATCTGACGCTTCGCCGACTGGATCCAAGTTGAAGCGCAAGCTGCCAGAGAACAAGATGGGGTCTTGAGGAATGATCGTCAAGCTGTGGCGCAAGCAGTGCAAGCCCAAGTTCTTGATGTCAAGTCCATCCAGGAACACATTACCGGAGCCAGCCTCTACCAGCCGCAAGAGCACGTTCAGCACGGAAGACTTGCCAGCACCGGTGCGACCGCAAATGCCGATTTTCTCTCGACCGCGGATGCTTAGGTTCAAGCCACTCAGAACATAAGGCAAATCGGGCCGGTAGCGAAGGTACACGTCCTTAAACTCTATTGCGCCCTCTCTGGGCCATGTCTGAGGACTTGGGTCCGTGGTCTGGTGATGCGGAGGCTCTGGCTCCAGTCGCAAGTACTCGCGGACCCTCTCGACCGAAACTATGTTCGTCTCGCGGTCGGCCGCCATTCGCACCACCCAGTTTAGCGCTTGCGTGACTGAGAGGGCATAGGAAATGGAGAGGCCGGCAACACCTCTGGGCTGTGCAGACTTGAGGAACGCAACCCTGACTTTCAGGACTCGTTCCGGAAAGCGCCCTGTTCCCTGCCTGCACTGATGCTATTTCGCCCGAGCACTGCCAACATCCCCGCGCAGAAGGTGATGGCAGCCCCAAAGCTTTCCTGGGTCGTCGGATTCACTTGTCATGCTTGTGGTTGGAATGCGGGATAATGGGGTAAGCAGGCTTAAAAAGACTTGGTGGCCCGCGTCCAGAATAAATACACTCGCAAAGAGCGATGTGCGCCTTAACTGGGGGCCTGGAATCGGCATCCTTAAAGAGAATGCTGCTGGTGCAAGCCTCGGAAAGGCAGGGCTTGTCTTACAGGTTGGAGAAGCACGACCTTTTCGCTCTTTCCGAAACCTTAGAAGGGTTTTGCGGCATAGCGTCGAGGCGGACAGCCAGCCAGCGGTTGGAGGACATGTTGGAGTAGTAGGCTCTCATACCTCCAGAGCCGGGCATGTCATGCTTTTGTTCCTGTGCTGTGACCGGTGCTGCCGTTCTTGCTGTTGCTTCTGCACTTGTTGGCTCTGCTTCATCGTGAGGGTTCAACGAAACTCAAGTTTTTAGGAACTGCCCGGGCTTCGGCTCACGCGAAACAGGCTCTCGGAGATGAAGATGTCCTGCTGGCCGTAGGCGCGGATCAACGCGGTTCCATCCAAGGTCTCCGAAAAGTGCGAGAAGATGGGAGATCGCAAGTTGGACTCGATGCGCTTCAGCTGTCTGGAAGCCGGGATGTAAAAGTTCTGTGTCGCTCGGTAGAGCAGCAAGAGCGGGAAGATGATGACCAAGAACCACGGGGTTGCGACTGAGATCACTATGATCGTGCATACGACAACTGACGAGACTTGGAGATAGCTGTAGAGGTTGTTTACCAAGACCTCGTCGATGGTGTAGATATCTTTGGAAAACCTGGGCTGTTCCGGCAAAAAGGGTATGAAGAGAGCCACGCAGCCCGTAAACATCATCTCCAGGACCGGAGACCTAGACCACCAACCCAAAACTATCTGTAGTTCCAGTGGAGACACCGGTTGAGAACACGGCCAAGTGGAGTCGTGTCAAAGAACGTCATTGGCAAACGCAGCAAATTTGCTAGGAGCTGTCGGTGGAAGGTGCGCGCTGCTTTCCTGTGTGCACATGTGATTTCTCTTCTATGCTCAGCCCCGAAACTTAAGCCTGATCTTCAAATCGCAGACTCTACAGCCCACGTTACCAGTAGGGGTGTGGAGCCGAGTTTCAAGGCTGTCATTCTGAATAATGCGCTCGTCAGGAAGATTCCAGTGAACGCCTCGGCACCATGCAGAGAAGATGAAAAGCCATAGGAGGTTTTGTGACAGGCTTTTGTTCTACTCGACACTCCTACTCCACAGGGCTTCAAACCTCAGTTCCCTAGGCGATACAAGACTAAAACACGAGCGGAATGCCGGGCTCCAACAACAGGTTTGCATCCAATTTTGTCAAGGCGCTGTGATGCTGAGGCCACCATATCCCAGCAGTCCCACTAAGCTCGTAATGTGAGGCACGCTCTTGGGGGTGTTGTGATCAGACCAGTACGAAAGCCAGGCGGCTGCAACAGACTGGAGACCTTGACCACACAAGACTCCGAACACCACTGCCACACCCACGCATGTTCCACCTGCTGCATTGATGTAAGCCCCATAGACTTCGGTCGGTACAGAGCCGATTTGTTCCTCCTCTTTCTGCACCAACTTACCGGCTTCAGTGCTTTTGGCTTCAGAGGGCGCTGGCTCATCGCTTGTCTGGCGCTCGAAAGAAGCCGTATCACCGTCCCCACGCTTGGCCACCAGCTTAGGAAAGGCGTTTTGAAAGTCGGCCAGGGTACCGCAAAAGGCTATCTTGGGCACAGGCTGTGTGGATTGCTTGTCAGTGGACTCAGCGGACGAAGACAAGCTCTCTGCTTCAAGATCCGGCGACGCATCGTTGGCATCCGCTCCGGTCTGCTGAGATGCACCACTGCGGCTCAGTAGAATGATCTGGTCTGCACTGTGCACCGCTTGAAGGTGATGTGTGCACAGGACGATGGAGGATCTTGACAACAAAGGGCCCTTGAACATCTTGAGCAGCTTCTTAGCAACATGCGAGTCCACGGCACTCAGCGGGTCGTCCAACAGCATAAGATCCGCTTGAGAGTAGACAGCACGTGCCAAGGAAATTCTTTGCTTCTGTCCTCCGGACAAGTTGACGCCCTTCTCACCGATTTCTGTCATATCCCCGTTGGGCAAAGCTTCCAGATCCGGCAATAAACAGCAAGCTTTGACCACGGCCTTGTAGCGATCATCATGGAAAGTGCTGTTGAAAATAATGTTGTCTCTGACCGAGGCGTTTCGAATCCATGACACTTGGGATGTGTAAGCGATTTGCCCAGCTGTCGACACGATGCCTGACACTGGACTTAGGTCCCCAATCAAAGCTTGCAGCAGTCCGGACTTGCCGGCACCAACTGCCCCGAGCACAACAGTCATGTGAGCTGTCTGTTGTCCTTCGACCGGTGCTGGAATGGAGAAGTTGGCCTTCGAAAGAAGCGGGCTTCCATTCGGCCATGCCAATTCGGCATCACGAACTTCCACTGCAAAACCTTTGGACGCTGCCTGGCTGCGTCCTGGGATTTCGGGTGCGCACAAGAAATCCTCCAGTCGCCTGATTGCAACTTTGGCTTCCACCACTGTCGTGATCGCCTCATTGGGTTTTGAAGAGCTCTTGCGAACCCTGGCTGCCCTAGCTTGCTAGCTCGAAACGCTTTAGGCTGGACTCGAGGCTACAAGATCTCGCTGAGCCAGCCGCTTGTGGGAACATAGTCAACGGAAACCGCAGAACGTTGAAAAGGGCCACAGCAGTGAAGGCCGTGCTGGCTGTCAGCTCCTTGTAGAGCCAACAGTACACTGCAAACGTAGCCTCAGTTCGGTGTGGGGCTACAGTTCAAAGACTGCGAGGTCCAGTCCTCTTGATCTTAGTTTTCCAAAATACCAACATGACCCGAGGAACCAAGGCAGTAAGAATCGGGGCTGTCGCCCACATTGCAGAACTAATGATGTTCAGAATTTGGTATTTCCTGAGCTGCTTGAGCTCCATCTCACGAACGCCGTCCAGCCTTGTCTCAAAAGAATCTTCCCAACCATACCTCAGCAAGCACGGCACAAGTTGCACGATGCTGTGCTGCCCCTCTTCTATTGCATCTCTGCGATTGTCTGTGCTTGGTCCACCAATCCATCAGGGATACATTTTCAGGAGACGGATGGACCCAAAAGCCTCGTTGGTGAGCTTGATTCGTTCGTCTTTGATGGTCCTGGTGGGATAGAAACTGAGACTTATAGACTTTCCACGCATTGGCTCGATCCACCGGGCAATCTGCCTGAAACTAATTCGGCAAAACGCTGACAACAGTACGACCAAGTTTCATAAGCTTACGCTGAGCAAGGCGAATTCGTCGAGCTACCACTGCCACCGCTGGAATCTGCACGAGCATCACCTTTGGTGCTTCGACGTCTCGGGGTCTCGGGACTACGTACTTTGACCGCGATTATTGCAGGAGAGACATGCGCAACATATCCGAGCGACGCTGAGTCCAGCCAAAGTTGCCCAACCCACTACCCAATGCAGGAATATCAGTGTGATGATAATCTGATAAGGCGAGCTCCACAACGGGTGGAGTTGAGGAGCGAAATCTTGAAGACGCTGCGAGTCGACAGCCATAAGGTTCACGATCTCTCCAGATGTTCGCTGCTTCGAGTCTTTGGATTTCGAAGCCCCATCCACCCTCAACGACTTGTTGTAAACGAGAGAAATGCAAGCTACATTGAATCTCATCCCAGTGCGGAAGCACCGGTGAAAGTACTGATGCAGAACCATTGTCTGCACTGCTGCACTCAGTAACATCAGCACAACGTAGGACATGCCTTCTTCAAAAGTGCATTGGCTCGGAGAAGATCCGTCACAGTGGTCCAGAAAGTGTAAGATTGCCTTGAGAATGTAAGGACCTGCCATCTGCAAACTGTCATAAACGAATTTGAATGCTGCTGCGAACATGAATGGCCCGCCAAAAGCTCGACGCAACACACGCACCAAGGACGGTCTTTCTTCTCGTTGTTCCTCCGAGAGCGCCAGCTGTGCTTTCTCCGACAAGCTCTCGGCCATGTCATCGCTCCGCAGCTGAAGCAAATCTTTGTCAGTCAAGGCCAGCGGCCCAGCTTGAGGACTTTCAGATTGCTGTGCTCTGCGACGCTCGCGTCTATAGCCCTCCTGGATGATGCCGCCAACCCAGCTGAAAGTAATGCGTGAGAAGCACCAGGCCGCGTCCTCCGCAGAGGTCTCAGCGAAGGTCGCACCATTTACAAGTGGCACAGCAAGCTCTGCACTGGTGACTCCGGCCATGGCCACAAAGGAATGACTTGTGGAAACCTTGGAGACTAAGACTGGAAGGACCTGTTTTTTGCTTCTTGCATGGCTCAGCAAATCACGGAAAAACCTATGGAAACCTGGGAAAGCAAAGCTGTTTGTCTGAGTTTCCTGTCAGTGTACCCGAATATTACGACAATTTGCTTTCTACGCTTGTCGAGTTGGAAAGCATCAGCGGTGAGCAACAAGAATGAAGTTGCAGGGTGATCGTCGGAAGAGCTGCGGTCATTCGTGCGGCAGGGGCGTGGCAGATAGCATAATGAAAACCAACAAAACCTCAACGCTACTGCACAGCCCGTGTTGTCGTGACTGTGGTGATGCTTCTTGCTTTCTTCTTTCTTTTGTCCAGCCGCTGTGGTCACGTCCTTCGTACGCATATCACGCACACCAGGGGCAACCGGGAGAGCCGTTCGGCCGTTAGGCCTCGGCGAGCGCTGCGACCCGATCGAGCGGGGTGTGCTCGTCTCCCGTTGGCTGCGCCAGAGCTCGCCAGACGCCATCAAGCCGCCAAGGAGCGTGGAAGCCAAGGCGCGCTGCAACGCGCAGCTTTTTTGCTGCCCCCACCACCTGCTGTGTTTCTCGGTACGTCTCCACGTCAGATCTGGGTACAGTCGTTACGCGGACGCGCTTACTGTGCTATGGCTGTCGGGCTCGGCTACGGCCCTCCCAGCTGTCTTGCACCGACGGGGTCAGGAAAGCTAGGAGTGACGGTTTACGTGGTTCGAGGATGCACCTTCCTTACGGCCAATCGCTGGTAGTTGGGGTGTGTGGGAGGTACTCTCACCTTGAGCGTCCTAGAACGGACCTGAACAGGACTTGTGGACCGATGCTGCTGTCTGCACAATATGCGATGGTACTTCGAGATACCCAAACCTCACTGGCAATTCATTCTGCTTGGGGATGTCGGCAGGTCTGATACTAACGTCGGCGCTGGTTTACGACATGTCTGAAATTGACTGGCCCTCTCGCCTGCTATGAGCAGACTCCAATAAGCAATATTGTTGTCGTCGATGCTGCCGCTGCTGCTGCTGCTACCGCTCAAGCTGCCACTGTTGTCGTGTTGCAATTGCCAACCTGCAGCTCATGTGCGCGCCGCGCTCGCCAGCACCCAGGAGGCCGTGTTGGCGTCGCTGGACGGTGGACGCACGTGCGACATGTTTCGAGCAGCCTTCTTCTGCCAATTCCACGGGGTGGCCCGGAGTTGCTCCCTTTCGTGCGCCTCTTCTACGGCAGCCCCTCCGTGTGCTGCCGGGACGCATTCCAAGGTGAAGGGTGCGAGAAAGGGGACGCGCAGCACGATGCCCCCTAGCAACCACCGCGCACGCTTCATGCTCACTTGTCTTCGTGAAACGGTGCATGTCGTTGGGGACATCGCCTACAACCTCAGCAGGACCAGCGTCATCACCGCTGACGAATTGTGGTGTGGAAACAAGCCCAACGCCCAGCGAGGTGTTGTCGTCCTCGCTTCGCTTGTGGTGGGGCACACGACCTTCGTGCAGGCATGGGCTGAGGACAGGCTGCGCACAATTGCTCTTTTTTTTGCACGCGCCTTTCTGCGAGCGGTACGGGAGCGGTCCCAGTGCACCTGCAGACTACGTGGCGCGTGAAGCCGAAGCCCTCCCCGCGAGCCGGCTGGCGGGGGCATGCAGCCAGCGTTCGTCTTGCAGGACCTCATGTACAGCCGGCTTTCCGGCAGCAAACGCGACAGTGTCGGGAGCTCAAGCAGAGAGCCGGCAAGGGCCCTCTGCGCCGCGACGGCGATGATGCTGCTCCAGCGAGACACATAGGCCGCACGCAAAGCCGAGCGAACGGCAGCGTGCGCACGCCCAGCTCGCGCCCGCGCGAGGAGCTTGAGGAAGGTTGTGGGCTCGGGACCCCAGCGGCCACCAACCTCGACAGCGAACAGCGAGGTGGCAGCGCGGCGAGCGCGCAAGCTCGGGGTACGTGT